AATACGTATGTTGTTGTCAGCTGTCATCAAGTCAACTCTGACTCATGGCAACCTACGTATAACGTTGCCCAGTCCTGTGTCAGCCTCACAACTGCCAGCATATTTTCATTGGCTAATTTTCAGAAGTAAATTACCAGTCCTTTGTTCCTAGTCTTAGTCTGGAAGCTCCGCTGAAACTTGCCTACTATCGGTGACCCTGCTGTATTTCAAATACCGGTGGCATAGCTTCCAGCATGATAGCAACACAGAAGCTCCCACAGTACGACAAACTGACAGATGGGTGGTGGTGAAATGCATGTAACTGCCCCGATTCACTTTCTGTGAAAATGGAGCACTTCCTATGCCGAGTCTCCAACCAGAGAAGCATGCCAGATCAAACAGACGCACAAACAAAAGAATCAACAACAACTTGCTACTGGGACCAGAGTAATTTTTGCAATGTCTGTTGAATCCAGTCTGTTTAAAAGTGGCCAAGAACTGCTTAAGACAGCATTTTGTAGATAATAGACAAGCACCTGATTGTTGTTTAATGGATAAATGAGAGGTGGGGCTCACGAGGCTGTGGGCTAAAGAAAGTTGTTGATTGGAGATTGTGTTAAGTGCCTGTTTAAGTCTTTGCCCATTTTTTATTGTGTTGTTTTTTTATTTCTTATTGATTTGGAGGTGCTGTTTATATATGATAGATATGAACACTTTGTCAGATATATGTATAACAGATATATCCTTCCCACCTGTGACTTGCCTTTTCATTCTTTTATTAGTATCTTTTATTGAATAGAAGTTCTGAATTTTAATGTAATTAGTTTTTCAGTCTCCGCCTTTATGGTTGGTGCTTTATGGGTCTTGTTTAAAAAGTCTTTGTCTACCACAAAGTTATGAAGATATGCTATCTTCAAGAAGCTTTATTGTTTTGCCTTTTATACTTAAAGCTGTGATCCATCCCTAATAATTTCTTCTTTGTGGTATGAAGCAGAGGTCATGGATCATTTTTCTCACGTGGACATCGAATTGACCCATCACCATATACCAAAAAGAAAACCCCTTCTTAAAAGCACTGCAAGGTCACTGTTGTCATAAATCAAGTGACTGTATGTATGTTGATCTGTTTGGGGTTCTCTATTCTGTTCTTTTGGTCTGTTTAGTCTTGCGCCAACACCGTATTGTATTAATTGTTGCTGCTGCTGTTTGTTACTGTAGAGTCCGCTCCAACTCATGGAGACCTTAGTAACAGAAGGAAATGTTGCCTGGTCCTGCACCATCTTCATGAGCATTGGTGTGCTCGAGTCCGTGTCATGGCCACTTGTATTCAGAGTGTCTTCCAACCTAGGAGCTCATCTTCAGCACTAAATCAGAAAATACCCTGTTGTTATCCTGTAAAAATGTCACGGTGGTGAAGTTGTCTGACCTCCTCTAACTTTGCAAGGAGGAAGGAGAATAAAGATCAACAGCCCAAGGCTGACTCCTATTGGAAGAGGCTGCATAGGCCCGGCTCACTATTATTTACTCTCCATTGCTAACCGCCACATTGTCTCCTGATGTTTCCCTCCCATTCCAGTCTCTACAAAAGGTTTAAGATTAACCGATGTTCCTCCCTGGAGGGTGGAAAACAAGTGATAATGATCTAAGAATGAAAAACCAAACAAAGTATCCATCTTGTGACAAGAAAAAGCAGGATGTCGCCAGATAATCCCCAAAGATGTCACCAGATAACCTCTAAGAATACCAGTAGAAGGTTAACTCATCTAAGACATCATCACCTCAAGGGGAAACTACCACAAAAGATCCATAATCCTGTCCCTATAAAAGACTTCAGCTGATCTCCAGTGGGGGAGACAGGTTTTTTGGAGGAATCCATTCCCCTCCGTCTCCTATATATCGATATATAATAAACATCTTGCTGCTCACCTCACCCGTCTCAAAATTGGCTATTGCGGCAGGTGGTTCTAATCCACGTTATTGCGGTAACACTATGAGCTGGAGGTTAGACAAGCCTCCTCTCTCTGCCATCTTTACCAATTCTGACACCAACCATCCCTCCCACAACACTCTCTACTTCTCTGCTGGGTTTGATAATTCATTGCAATGGCCACACAACTCACAGACCACACTCATGGTTATGGGGCTAATAAGGAAGTAACAGGTTACAATTCAGGTTCAGGAACGCACAGGATTCAGTTCTTCCATAAGCACAGCCTCTTCCCAACTGTGCTCACAGGCATGCCTCTCTTTGGCCCTCAGCCTCTGCCCTGCTCAGGAAAGTGTTACACAAAGCTCTTTCACCTCTGCTGATAAGTACCAAGAGGCACTGTACTCCGCCAGTAAGCCTCAGCCTGAAGGTGCTCAGCTCTGCCTCCATGGGTCGCAAACCTAGCTCCACCAAGTGCCCAGAGGCACCCTACTCCGCCAGCACTCAGCTTTCCAGCTCCGTGGGCCAGGAAGCCCACTGTGCTGTCTCCTGCCAGCCTCTCCTGTCGCCATTTCTCTGCCACGGCTTCTCACTGTCTTTGCATTACATCTCTCTCTCTCTTTCCCTCCCTCTCCTGGTTCCAGAAGCTTCTAAGCGCAGGAATCCCAGGTCCGTAGGACATACTCCGCTGTTGGCCCTTCTTCCTTGGTGGTGGTGAGAGCCTCCCTTCTGCCCTGGAATTGGCTCTCTTTTAAGCCTAGTAGGATGGCAGAACTGACCAATCCCCTTGGTGGGCCACAATTACCTTATCTGCACAAATGATTGGGTGGGAGTTACAAGACCATGGCGAGAAAGGCCACACAAAAGCAATCCATTGCACTGCAGATCCACAAGGTTTTCATTGGCTAACTTTTAGAAGTAGATTGCCAGGCCTTTCTTCCTAGTGCACATCAGTCTGGAAGCTCCACTGAAACTTGTCCACCATGAGTGACCCTGCTGGTATTGGAAATACCAGTGGCACAGCTAATGGCATCACAGCAATGCGCAAACCACCACATTATGATAAACTGCTGAACAATATAAGCAACAAATCACAATATAATTGGATTATAACTCAAAGAATTAATTAATTATCCATAATTAATTAAATATCTATACATACACACTGATATAAAGAAATTAGTGAATTTATAAGTGGGGAAAAGCAGCAGTTCTTCCTTAGAAAAAAATTCTAAATAATAAATGCAGAATGAGTGAGGAAAACAGAAAATCACCATTAGCACACTGCTGTATACTTGCTGCAGGCAAGCTTCACTGGTGAATGCTAGAATTAGTGCGTGAAAATTTAAGGAGAAACAGGATATTTGCATAGCCTTAAAGTATCCTCCTAAAATTGCTGTGGTGGTTTTAATATGTGTCCACAGATTCTTTGCTGCTCCTCCCTTCAGGAGGTGGAGCTTAATTCTCCTCTCCTTGAGTGTGTGTCTGGGCTTAGTGATTGTTCTAACGAAGTGTAGAAAAGGAAACAGAGTAACTACAGTGAAGAAACCTGGCATGCTTTAACCAGGAGACCAAGATTATCGTGCCCATTAATGAGACACAGTGACATGGTGTGCCTCCATGTGATGCAATGAGAAGGGAATAGCTCCTCCGTGCGGTTCTTCCCCCAAATCCACACCCTCACTCTACTCTTGTGCTGAAAAAATCGCAGAAGGGACATTCTACAAAATACCTGAGCACTACCTTTTTTTTTTTTTTTTTGCTAATGGATAATTTTATTTCTTTCTGCCAATGTTTTGTAATCATAGTCCTTAATACCCCTGATGGGTTGATCTACCACTATTCTGGTAGATAAGTACTTTCAGTCTGAATGTGTGAGAAAGGGTTCCTCTTTCCCAGCCAATCAGTTACAGATTTCATGGTCAGAGACATCAAAACTAGTCTACTCTTTTGGTCAGACTTCCTCACTGTATTTATAAGTTTTGATTGTAAATAAAACAGGCCACAAAGTAGTAGGAGAAATACGTTGCATTAGCTAGTTCTCAGTAGATTATGCTACAATAACAAACAACCTCAGGATCTTAGCAGTTCACAAAAATAAAGGCTATTCTCACTTCTGTAAGATGACAATGGCAGGCCAATCTCAGCTCTACTACATGTCGTTTTCATTTGGGACCCAGACTGAAAGAGTGGACCTTGTCTGAAGCAGTTCCCTGGCCGTGACAGAGTGATTGCAGAACAAGACAATGACCCTCAAAGCTGCTGCTCCAAAATGGCATGGGTCCCTTCTCACATTGCATTGGCCAAAGCAAGTTTCAAGGCCAAGGATGGTATTAACAGGGTCAGAAGTATCTCCTCCAGCTGGGATAAGTCAGAGTAGTTGGCCAAAAACGATGGGTCTGGAAGGGAGGAACAATGAATACAATGAAGAGCACTACTTTTCAAGAGTGTCAAGGTCATGAAAAAAAGGGAAATGTCACAGACTGGAGGACAGTGAGGAGGCATGACAACTAGACGCAAAGTGGACCCTGGAAGAGAAAAGGACGTGAGTGGAAACTGGTGAAATCAGAAGGAAGTCTGGAGAGTCAGCAGTAGTAACGCCCCACGTTAATGTCTTGGTTTTGACAAATGCGCCATGGTTATGTAAGATGTCAGCACAGGGAAACCGGGTGAAGGCCAGTGGGAGCTCTGAACTGTCTTTACAACGCTTCCGTAAATCTAAAATTATTTACAAATAAAAATGCCAAAAAATATTTTCTGAAAGGTTTCTCTGCAGTCTCTTCAGAGTGCTTATCAGGGCAATTTATATATATATTATACATTTCTGAGGAAAGCTTTTTTTTTTTTCTTTTTAAAAGTAGCATTTATAATTAATAATTCCATTTAGATTTAAGAAAAAAAAGCCACTATGGGAATTGAGTATGGAGAAAAGCTGACTCCAAAGTTGACTTCAGATGAGATGAGAGAAAGCCTTTGCTCTAGAATAAAAGAACCAAGAACTTCCATCATATTTTGAGTTGATAAAGGCACTCTTTGGACTGTAAAGTGAGCTTAAGGCTTGGAGTCAATAGTAATAAAGAATATGGTTACTCACCAGCATCACTTTCCTCTGGGGTTTCAGCAGCTTTGGTTTATGGAAGGTGGTGACTATTGGAGCTGTGGAAACAGGTCAAGTCTTTACCTTGGGTGTCTCACCCGGGACTGTCAACCACCATGCACCATGGGCAGGCCGACTCTGGAGGCTCGCAGGCCCCTATCTGTCCCCATGGGAGAACTCGTGTCTGACCCCATCTATCAGCAGCCCCTCAAGAGGGCAGTCCTCCCTAGTCCTGATGTGTCTTCATCTCCTCTCAACAAGGTCAGCAGACCCGCTCTGCAAAAGCACTGGTGGATACAGAGAGGTCAGGGCTGGGGAAGGGCTGAGGCCAGGCCTTCCCTGAGAGGCTCCCTCCTGGTTGCACACTAACACCATCAATAGCACTGACCTTTGATCCTCACAGGAGCCCTTGAAGGTCATCAGGGAGGGTCTCAGTGTGCCCATTTAACAGAGGAGGAAACCGAGGCTCTTCCCACAAGGTCATATATCCAGTACTTGGATGAACTGTAACTTGACCTTGAAAGTCAGGCAACCTCACTTCAAAGCACACGCCACCATTTAAGTCTCTAGGTCTCATTTTCACTTTTTGTAAGATAACAGAGTCCTGGTGGCACAGTGCTTAAGAGCTCGGCTGCTAACCAAAAGGTCGGCAGTTCGAATTCACCAACCACTCCCTGGAAACCCTATGGGGCAGTTCTACTCTGTCCTATAGGGTCGCTTAAAATCTACTCTGGATTGAATGAGACCATAAAGCAGCGTAACGCTGGCCCAGAGTGTGTTCTCTGCTCCCTTCCTTCCCCAGATCTGCACTTCCCATGCCTCCCTAGCATGTCCACGCCTTCCAGCCCCTTCCTTCCCACAGCAGCCTCAGCCTTTACCACCACAGGGCTCCAAAGGTTCCTAGAGGGCTTTCCGTGAAGCCACAATTCAGGGATGGCATTTATTGTGTCTCGTTATTGAATTGTTCATCTGGGAAATTCCTGAAATCCCAACTATATTTCAAACTGTTTGAGGTATGAACTGCTTCTAAATTGGTCACTGTTATTTTAGGAACCATCTGTGGACAAGCCTTAGTTCTCCTGAGCAGTGCCCTCCTGCAGAAACACCCATCTTCCTCACTCAGATTTCTCTAAATGGTCGCTGGAGTCAGAGTAACCCTCATTTTCTCCATGCAACAAATCCAAAGTAAACCACATACCAGGTTTGCAACTTTACAAAACCAGACAGCCTTCTTTCATGTGAATAGACCAAGATGTACTGACACCCCTGCCCTCACCCTGCCACAGATAGAGCATTTTAATAGCTCAAAGGGAATACCAACTGGATTCAATCTGTGGCTGTTGCTCCTTTCTACTGCTGAAGCCTTGCTGGGCCAATGATAACACCTCCGGCTCCACCCAGGGACAGGGCTGAAGGGCTGAGATGGTTGCGCACCATATATTCAGAATCTAGCAGGGGTCTCAGACTATATAATCACCAGGTGCCATGTCCTCCACCTATTGCCCCCATCCTGATCCCAGATCAAGACCCAGACACCCAGGATCAATTACGGTGGCCTCCACCGTAATTGCTGGCCAGCTGCCTACCTTTCGCCGGGACTGCAGGAGGAACATCAGCCTTCTCCTTCCGTCTCTTGCCCTTTTTGGGCTGCAGTGGGGCCAAGCTGGTCACACTGGTGACAGTCTCCCCGGAGCTACAGAAGAAAAAGGTCCTGGTGAAGCCATATACATTGCTCCAAAGGGAAAAGGTAAAGAAAGCAAGTAGTCAGTAGGTGCTCCCTGGGTATCTGTATAAGGTAGGATCATCTTACACTTGGACCAGACCTTTGGAGGTCTGGTACTGACTCTGGACCAAGATAACTAGTTGTCTTGGTGGTTCATAATCCAAAGACAAACAGCCTCCTATGCAGCCTGGGGAGCCGCACCTGGAAGTCTCTCAGGCCTGACAAAATCATTTTGATTCTCCTGGAATCCAGATTTGCGTTCATGGAATTGGGGTGACCCACCCAGGCCGTCTGCCCTGAGGTGTCCTTTTGAACCTTCAGGGAACTGCTTCCCTGGAGTCACCTTCAGGTTAAATGATAGCTTAGTGAGCAGTTTAGAGGAGAGTTTTGCCTTAGGCATTGGGTTCCTTTGGAAAATTTGAATGTGCAGCCATCTTTGAGAAACAGAACTCCAGGGTCTGACTACAGGCTGTTTTAGGATATATGGCATGTCCTTGGTGACTTTCTGTAACCAGCCCTGTGCTTTGACTTTCACTGTCCCCTCTTCCAATAGGATAGCCTTCCCAACATGTTTGGGTGACACTGCCCAATTCGAATCATATCTACCCACAATAAATGTACTCTGTTACACCACTTTTTGGTGTTTCTCTAAGCAATTTAGGTTTTTGACAAGCCCTCCGTGACTGCCCGGCTTCCTTCTGCTGCACAGTATTTATTAAGGCTGAGCCTTCAGTGATCTGACTCTGTGTAATCCATGCAGTAGCAGACTCTTTAGATGTGTGATCCATGATAACCCAAAGTGATGGGGGTGATAAGCCTTATATTACAGGCAGGAAAACCAAAGCTTAGAGATGCTGTCTTGCTCTAGGTGACAGTAAACATCAAATAGGAAAGCTGAAAATGCAGACTCTTCTGATGTGAGACCTGCCCTTGGCACTACCTGGGGGGGGGGAGGGGGGAAAGGTGGGGGGGGGGTCAGGGGGGCGTCCATAACCTTTCTTGAATGGTCATCAGTCTTACTCAGAACCCCTTGTCCTCAGGCACAGGCTCCAGGCGTGTAGGTACAATTACCCAGAGGGGTTATCTCCCTAATACAGAAAGGAGTTCTAGAAATCCACAAGAATAAGATAAACCTCCCAATACTAAAGTGAATGATGTAAACACAGAGATTTTACCCAGAAGGAAAGTCGTCTGTATATGAAAATGAGGCAGAGACCCCACAGTGCTGTGTTCTTTACCTGGCTTCCTCCCCTGCAGTGTTGTACTGAAAAATCCTTTCCTTTGCTGGGCTCCCCTCGCACCCCAGCTTTCATCTGAATCCTGCTTTTGCTTGGAGGTTATATGTAAATACCACTGCGCCTGCATAGCATGAGTAAGAATGTTGCCAGCATAACTTATATGAACTCCCTACTTGTAAACCCCTTTAAAAGTAACCTGCCTGTGAAAAATGGCGCTCTAGGCAGAAGCACCACACCGTCCCTCCACAGCAAAGATCCGAAAAACTAAGCCGAACAGACAAAACAACAATCCTGAAACCCTAAAACATCAAATGAAGAGATAAAGAATTCAGCCAAGCACCAAATGGAGTGAGAAAACTG